AAGGTAATGATTTAACGTAATTCGACCTAATTGACTTACATTCATGGATAAGAAAAAAATTTACTAGTTGTAGAGAATTACAAACATACATCAAATCAAGCACTCAACAATTAATACACATAGGCCCTCTCAATCTTCTTTAGTGCTATAGAGTATTCTCAACTTAAACAAATACAAACCCATGTGCACCATTTCAAAACAAACAAACACATACCTATATGTATCCATACATCATACCTATATGGACCCTCTTAATCTCCTCTAATCCACTTCCATGCATCATACTTATGTGGACCCTCTCAGTCTCCTCTAGTCCATTTATAAACATTCAAACATACACACCCATAAGATGTAAATCTTTGTAGTCTTATGGGGTGTTTATCCTATAAAAACCTATAACTCTCTTGTATATTTTTCTCATCTTTAACCTTATAAAGACTTTACCTATTTATAAGTATAAAAGCTTGCCTATTAAGAATCCTTTTTCTCTTGAAATTCTTCTTCTACAAGTCAAACTTGTCTATTAAGAATCTCTTTTCTCTTAAAATTCTTTTTCTACAAGTTTTTTTGTCTATCAAACAATATCTAATCAATCCCAAATAAATCTCTTATAGGATTTCAATCACTATTCCCAATAGAAAAGGACGCAAGAATAGATCTTGGCTTCAAGGAGAAAGGATTTATTCAAAGCAAAATGAGATAAACCATCACTCATAACTTTTTCCATGTGATTACCTTTTTTCCAAATTATAAATGCCTTGGTACCCTTGCATTTCAAATTTATATAATCACATTTAAAAGGTAACATTTAATAAATTTAGAATTCAAATCTTAATATCTGTAACTAGGAATTGTGAAAATCAAACTAATATTACTGATTAAAGTTGTAGTGGATAAAAAAATTGATTATGTTAACTAGGAAAGATAAACCTAAATTTTAATTTTTGCAAAATTAAACGTTTGACTTTCATAGATTTTTATATAACTTCATTTTTATATAAAATCATGTTTTATATTTGAATTAATATTGTTTTTTCAATAATTTTCTTAATTTTAAGAGTCTAACATATATTGTAAAACTTGATTTAACCAAAAAAAAAGTAACTATAGCAAAAAATAATAAGGAAAAAAGTCTTAGCTTCTCTAAATTTTTTGTAATTTTACTTTTTTTAAAAAATATGTATTTATTTATTTATTATCTTTTCTAAGACCTAAAGAGTTAATAGTCTAGCCGTGGGATTTACTCCCATAAAATTGATGGACGTAACTTGCCAAGTCTTTTTTGTTCTTCTTTCTAGAATTATCAAATTTCAATGGACCATCAAATGCCTTTTGTGGAAAATTCAAGTTGAAAATTGGAGGTCACAAGTTTTCTTTGTAATTCAACAAATCAAAGTGGTTAGCTTACTATGAAAAGATGGAAAGCATTGGTTACCAGTTTTCATCCATACAGAGTAGATAAGTTGGTTTAGGCTCCTTCTTTACTTTTCAATGCATTTATCATTATCATTACATGTTTAAGACTTTGTCTTGAATTGAAAAAATGATGCTGATGAACGGTGATTAAAGTTATATTTAAAATAAATAAAAAAAATAATTGGGTTAATTACGAAAGATATATTCAAATTTTGCAAAATTAAATGTTTAAAATGACATATATATAAAAAGTATTATAGCTTTATTTTTATATAAAACCAGTGTTGTATTTGAATTAATATTCTTTTTCAACAATTTGCTTAATTTTAGCCAAGCATACATATCAAAATTTGAATTAACCAAAAAAAAAAAAACTATAGCAAAATATAATAATGAAAAATAGTCTTAATTTCTCTAAATTTTACGTAATTTTTTTTTCTAAATTTTTCATTTTTCATTTCATTTTTTCCTCGTTTCTAAGACCTAACAAGTGAATTAGCTGGCATAAAAAATAAAATTACGGGAAACTGAACTATAACCCAACTATATTAGTCAAATCATGTTCATCAATATAAGTTAATTAACTATGTAATTGAACAAGCATAGTGATTTACACAATTTTTAATTAGCTAAAAATAATTGTGTTAACTATGAAAGATAAACTGAAATTTTAATTTGCAAAATTAAACGTTTTACTTTCATAGATTTTTATATAACTTCATTTTTATATAAAATCATGTTTTCTATTTGAATTAATATTCTTTTCTCAATAATTTTCTTAATTTTAGGCACCAAACATATAAAGCAAAATTTTGATTTAACAAAAAAAAAAACTATAGCAAAAAATAATAAGAAAAAAGCGTCTTAGCTTCTTTAAATTTTTTGTAATTTTATTTTTTTCTAAATTTTAATTTTTTATTTATTTATTTTTCTCTTTTCTAAGACCTAAAAAGTTAATTGCCCCGGCTGTGGGACTTATTCCATGGACTTGATGGACTTAACTTACTTATCAAGGTTTTTTTTTCTTCTTCTAGAATTGTCGAATTTCAATGGACCATAAAAAGGTTTTTGTGGGAAATTCAAGCTGGAAATTGGTGGTCATAAGTTTTCTTCAAGGTGGTTAGCCTATTATGAAAAGTTGGAAAACATAGGCCACATGTCACGGGCTCCAGACTTAAGTCAGAATCTGTGCGGAGCGCCCGATGTGCCGGTCCAGGACGTGACACACAAGCTTTCTTCGTACGGGATAGATCAACTGGCCTATTTATGTTTCGTGTTTGTTGCTTTTCAATACATTTATGATTATCATTACGTGTTTAAGATTTAGTCATAAATTGAAAAAATGATGCTAATGAACGGTGATTAAAATTATATTAAAAATTAATAAAATAATAATAATTGTTTTAACTACTAAAGATAAATTAAAATTTTTGCAAAACTAAACGTTTGAAATCACATACACAAAGTATTTTAACTTTATTTTTATATAAAACCTGTGTTGTATTTGAATTAATATTTTTTTCAACAATTTGCTTAATTTTAGCCAAACATATATAGCAAAATTTGATTTAACAAAAAAAGAAAAGAAAAATACTATAGCAAAAAAAAAAAAAAGGAAAAGGAGTCTTAACTTCTCTAAATTTTATGTAATTTTTTTTTTTCTAAATTTTTCATTTTTTATTTCATTTTTTCCCTCTTTTCTAAGACCTAAAGAGTTAATTGGCTGGCCGTGGGACTTACTCCGTAGACTTGGTTGGCTTGATCTCCTTGTCAAGTTCTTTTTGTGTTTTTTCTACAGGTCGAATTTCATTCATATATATGAATGCTTTTTGTGGAAAATTCAAGTTGGAAATTTAAATTGGAGGTCTTCGAACAAATTTCCTAGCGCTTGATGTGGTGGAAAACATTTTTCTTTAACTTTATATATTATGTGTTGGTAGCAATGATCAGTATGCAACCATGAAAGCGGTTACAATTTCCTTGTTTGTATTTTTTCTTGTCATCGCAGCCACTGTTATTAGCTTTTGTGATGGGAATTCCAATGTCCTTTGCATTGAAAGTGAGGGGCAAGCCCTTTTGAATTTCAAGCAAGACCTTATTGATCAATCAAACAGGCTATCTTCTTGGGTTGAAGGTGAGGATTGCTGTGAGTGGGTTGGTGTTTTCTGCAATAACTTGACTGGCCATGTCAAAGAGCTGCACTTGGGTCTTCTTACAAAAGGACCTGATGCGGATGAGCCGGTTGCTGAATGGGGTGCTTACCTTCGGTCAAAGCTAGGAGGCAAAATAAATCCTTCTTTGATCGAGTTGAAGCATATCAGTTTCCTAGACTTAAGCAACAACGACTTTGGAAGCCTGACAATTCCCGAATTCATTGGGTCGATGAAGAGCTTGACATATCTTAACCTTTCTCTGGCAAATTTCCAAGGACAAATTCCCCATAGTATTGGAAATCTCTCAAAATTGCTTTATCTTGATCTTGGACACAATCCCCTTTTTGAAGCTAAAGCTCTTCAATGGGTTTCTGGTCTTTCGTCTCTGCAGTACCTTGATTTGAGTGAAGTAGATCTTCGTAAAGCAACTGATTGGCTGCAATCAACGCAAAAACTTCCTTCTTTGGTGGAGTTACACTTGTCAAGATGCTCTCTAAATAATGATCCATCTCCAATCAGTGTTAATTACACATCTCTTGCTGTTCTGGATCTTTCCAGAAACACGTTGTCTTCGGTGCCTACGTGGATATTCAGTCTTGTTAGTCTCGTGTCCATTGATCTTAGCTCTAATGGAGTTGAAGGTGTGATTCCCAATGGTTTTCAAAACATGTCTTCTCTCAAATTTCTTGATCTTAGTAGGAATGCCTTCTCTTCATCGACACTCAGCTGGTTGTCTAATTTAAACCGACTTCAATTCCTTGGTCTTAGCAGTGCCGGCCTGCAAGGTAATTTTTCAAGTGCCATTGGAAACTTAAGCTCTCTTACTCATCTTGATGTTTCACATAACCAGCTTGAAATTATAGAACCTAAATGTTTGGAGAGTCTTTGCACTATCAGGGAGATGGATTTGTCATATAATGGAATTGATAATGAGGTATCAGAAATCATAGAGAGTTTGTCTAGATGTAGTTTGGATCGATTAGAGTCATTAAATATTGCATCTAACAAACTTTCTGGCCATTTACCTGATCAACTTGGCCAATTTAAAAATTTGGCATACCTTTCCCTTTCTAGAAACTCCATTTCTGGTCCCATTCCATTCTCAATAGGGAAGTTGTCATCATTGAAAGTTCTTGATGTTTCATACAATCGAATGAATGCAACTCTTCCTCAAAGTTTAGGACAACTTGGGAATTTGGAAGATTTAGACGTTAGCTATAATGTGTTGGAAGGAAATATATCAGAAATGCACTTTTCTAATCTCACGAGATTGAAATTTTTTTGGGCATCTAACAACGTGTTAACGTTTAAACCAAACCCAAGTTGGATTCCTCCTTTTCACTGTAAAAGTATTGGATTGGGTAACTGGCATCTTGGTCCACAATTCCCTCAGTGGCTACAATTCCAAAGAACTTGTCTTTTTTAGATATCTCCAGTGCTGAAATTTCAGGTGTCATTCCCACTTGGTTTTGGAACCTTTCGACTCAATTTGAATATCTAAACCTTTCCCATAACCAACTAGGCGGGGAGATTTCATATTTATTGATGAGTTCGATGGTTGACTTGAGATCCAACCAATTCACAGGTCCATTGCCACGGGCATCCTCTGATTTGGAGTTTTTATTTTTGTCTAAGAATCTAATTTCAGGATCCTTATCTAATTTTCTTTGTAATTTCCCACCAACTAAACTAGAAACTTTGAGCATTCTTGACATTGAATCAAATCATCTGTCAGGTGCAATTCCAGATTGTTGGGTAAATTTGCAAAGGTTGCGAGTCTTAAATTTAGGAAACAACAATCTAACTGGGACAATTCCTATATCCTTGGGATCTATGCTTCTTATTGAGTTATTAAACCTTCGTAACAATAACCTAGTTGGAGAAGTACCATCCACATTGGATAACTTATCTGATATGCTTATTCTTGATCTTAGTGAAAACCATTTGACGGGAAGTATTCCAGCATGGATTGGAGACGAGCTTTCAAAACTCGTGGTTCTAAACCTCCGCACAAATAACTTTCAAGCCTATATTCCTGATCGAATATGTTTTCTTAATTCTCTTCAGGTCTTGGATCTTGGTTATAACAACATTTCAGGAGCTATTCCAAAATGTTTTAGTAACTTAAGTGCCATGGCCACAAAACCCTCCGACCAACACCTGAGTTACTGGGCTTTCGAATTAGTCTTTGATAACCTGTTTTATTTGGATGCATTATTGGTGACAAGAGGAAGAGAGGATGAATACAGTACCACACTTAGACTTGTTACTAGCATAGACCTTTCAGTTAATAGTCTCACAGGAGAGATCCCCAAAGAACTTGGAAATCTTATGGGGCTGCGGTCATTAAATTTGTCAAAGAATCTCCTAATAGGAAAGATACCAGAGAACATTGGCAATATGGAGGTGTTGGAATCTTTTGACTTGTCAATGAACCGACTCCATGGTGAAATCCCTTCAAGTTTCTCCAATTTGAATTTCTTGAATCACTTGAACTTGTCCTACAACAACTTGACGGGACAAATTCCATCGGGCACCCAGCTCCAAAGCTTTGACAGGTCTTCTTACATTGGCAATCACCTTTGTGGACCTCCAGTCACTAAAAATTGCAGCGGAAATGGCGAAACGCCTGATTTTACAAATGGAGGTAGCAGTGGAGGAAAGAAAAGATCTAAGGTGAATTGGCTTTATGTGAGCATAGTGCTTGGATTTGTGATGGGTTTTTGGGGAGTTGTGGCTCCCCTCTTTTTCATCAGGTCTTGGAGGTTTGCTTATTATCAAAAACTGGAGCAAATTGGTGATAAGTTATACGTGTTTTGGGCTACTATTGGTATGTAATTATTTGTATTGGCAACTCATTTCGGTGTGTTTGGTAATGTAATAACTTGATTTGCATATTCTTTACTTAATCCATGTATTCGGATTCAGAAGTGGTATTACATGTTGTAATTTATTGAAATAAAATAAATTATGTTAATGTATTTGACTCATGTATGTTTGAATTTAATTCAATATGAGTTGAAGATACAATTTTTTATAAGTCATTTAATTTGAAATATTTATTATTCTAGTCTTATTTATGATTTTGGTTTGTTATTCAGAAGTAAAATTTCAAAAACTACAAATTTTTATAAATCCAAAGGAATTGAAAGCTTTTATTGTAACTATATAAAAATTGTAGAGTTTATGGGAAAAAAAAAGTATTTGGAAATGGGCCGGATTTAACGAGCCCGTTTTTGTCAAATCACTCCACCCTACAAACCCATTAATGAATCAAGCCTAATAGTCTTTTTACCCTATTTTATGTATTTTTTTAATTCTATTTATCAAAAATTTGAAAATAATAATAAATATAAAAATATAAAAAGGCAAAAAAATTAAAAAATTAAACGCAAATCTAAATCATCATAAAAAATTTTAGTCGTAATTTTCTTTTAAATCTAAATCATCATAAAAAAATTTAGTCGCATTTTTCTTTCTCTTTTTCTAAAAGTTTTGAAAAATGTTTATGATTTAAAATAAATTAAAAAAATCTTAGATTTGATCAAATAATTTATAAATTTGAAAATAAACAATAAATGTACACATCATAGCAAAAAAAGCCAACAGAAAAAAACGTGACCATAATAAATTAAATATTTTTTAATTTTGATATATTTATAAGATTCAATTTGTACATTAAGGAGTTTTAATTTTTAGTATCAGTTTTTTTTTTTTTTTACGTTTAGCGACGTTTATAAACGTCACTAAAAAATTTACAGCGTTTGTAAAAAGCGCTAGTATGAATGTCGCCTATACACGCATTGCGAAAAATAGCGACGTTTTTTATAAAACACTACTATATTAACGATATTTGTATTTGAAAAATTTTATATCTAAAAAATATTGTTATATTAACTGTATTTATATCTTTGATACGCCGTTAATTTAGTGGCGTTTTAATTAAATATTTTTTTAATTTTGATAGATTTACATAAGTTAAATTTTTATTTTATTTTTATTAAAAATAATTATAAATAGTGGGATCAAATTCTAGTAATGGATAAAAGTGTATAAAATAATGACCAATGCATATATGAACAATCAAATTTTTGGCCAATAAAATATTAGAGACTAATTAAAGAGTGGCAAATCATCCAATTAAGGCTGGAAGGTTATGCTTATGTAGGGTGTGAATTTGAAGAAAAAAAAATGAAAAAAAGGTGGCACTTGAGTGGAGAGGTAAAACCAACCTATAATGGCACCTAGAAAGTGACCACTGACTTTTTACATCTTATTATCAATTCAAAAAGTTAGTATAACATCAATTATGCTGGTTTAAGAAACTTATTTATGATAAATTTTGACATAATTAATAAACAAAGGATTATATGAAATAATTATTCAATGTAAAAATATATCTTTTTTATTTTATTAAAATCACACCATAAAATAATATTTTTAAAAAATGTTGATTATTTCTTTTATATTATACGTTATTATTAGATAGGTAAATTTTTATTTTAACAGCATTCACTTATTAGTGATACTTGAAAAATTAAAATTAATCCTTGTCAATAATATGATTATATCATATAATTTAAATGAAAAGCATATATATATAATATATATATATATAGATAAAGCAATCTTTTTATAAACTCAAAGTCTAACCTAATTGATTTATATAGATATTTTAAAAAGTTCTTCTAATCGGATTAAAATTTAAATTTATGCACTTATAATTTTTTTAATTCTCAAATTATAATTTATTTTGTATAAAAAATAAAACTACGACAAACTTAACTATAACCCGACTATATTAATCAAATCTTGTTCATCAATGTAAGGTAATTAACATTGTAATTGATCATTCTAAGCATAGTGATTTACAATTTTAATAAGCTAAAAATATAAGGTATAGGCAGGACATAAAAGTGAAACATCACGGGTGATGTAAGAGAATTTTAACTTGATCTGGCCACCATGCCCCGATGAGTATTCCTTTTGACTCAGCTGTTGATTCTACTATTAACGACCCAATAATGACGTTCGACGCTAATAACTTGTTCATATAATTTTACTCTCTTTCCATCGTTTCTTTAATTTGTTCTTTCTTTTTTTTTTTTACTTTTTTAAAATAAATATTTGAATAATGTAGCCATTCCCTCCGTAGCTTTTAATTACTATATATATAACACTAAGCTTCAAATTTCATTTCCTATGACCAAAACCAAAAAGCAAAATCAAAGAGAATTATAAGATCGAAGAAAAATCGTTTCCATAATAAGAATTACTTTTTCATACATGGATTATTCGTTTTTTCAATACCTTAATCTCCAATTGTCTCTTGAATCATCTTCTTCCTATATTTCTCAAAAAAATTCTCACCAGAATCATTCAATTATCTCCATAACCAAACCCTTTCTTTCAATGGAAATGACTCCCAAGAAATGTTCCTTTGGGAGTCCTACATCAAGCATAGGAAAACACTTTTGATACCACATCCGTTAATAGTTTTAGAAAGGATCATTAAGTGAACTTGAATGCAAACGAAGATGAGACAGGAAAGGAGGTTTCGTATAGAGGAGTTAGGAAGAGGCCATGGGGAAAATAAGCAGCTGAGATGAGGGATTCCATAAGGAATGGTGTTAGACTTTGGCCTGGAACCTTGGATATAGCTGAGGCTACAGTTAGCGTATGATCAAGCTGCACTCGCAATGCGAGGTCCGATGTGATACTCAATTTTTCAATGGATACTGTCATAACATATAGATTTGAAAATCTATAGCTAAACTTAACAAATGAATAGAGTCGCCACCAATCTTTTTTACTAGGTGTGATTGGTCACCTAAGGAATCTATCCCTTTAAAGAGCTTCTAAGCTTGACGAAGGGTCCTTAAAAGAATAGGTTTGGGTCTATTAACCAGAACAAGTTCAGGAGTTCGGTTACATGTGAAAAAGGTTATAGCACCCCCACATGTCCATCCGAAAGATGGTACCATATTATTTCGAATTTATCCTAAAGTATTGAGTCTAATGGTTTCAAATTTTAAGTTGAAATTTTTTTAAGAATTCTACCATAATAATAAATTAAAATTAAAAATTAAAACTAAAATTGGGCTAGAACTGAGCTAAGCCCAATGGGCTTAGGCTCAGCCCTTGTTGAATCAAGCCCAATAGGCTCGGGCTTGGGTCTGAACAAATTAAGGTATCTACAACTGTCCCTCTTTACACATTTTCTGTGAAACAGGAATTGTGTAAAGACGTAGACACCCTGCTTATGGTCATCCCAACAAATTTATGCTCTTTTTTTATTTTATTTTATTATTATTATTTTTTTAAACAAAACTCCTCTAAATAGAAGCAACAAACTTCAAAAATAAATGGCCCCTCTGAATAGAGGCAACGAACTTAGAGAAAATAAATGGCTCCTTTAAATAGAGGCAATGAACTTTTAGGAAATAAATGGCTCTTTTAAATAGAGGCAACAAACTTTTAAAAAATAAATGGCTCCTCTGAATAGAGGCAATAAACTTTGAGAAAATAAATAGCTCCTTTGAATAGAGGCAACGAACTTAGAGAAAATAAATGGCTCCTCTGAATAGAAAAAATAAATAGCTCCTCTGAATAGAGGCAACGAACTTAGGAAAATAAATGCTCCTTGACAATCATGTCCAAAGGAGTTAAAGATCATGTTTGAAGGAATTTTAGGAAATTATACCCAAAGGTCTTGCAAATCGATCCTGATACTAAGAGACATCTTTTTTCAAAGGTTAAAAACTTACCTCACAAACTTTTTATCAAACAAAAATTAAAAAATCAAAAAGTCTTTACATATATTTTCTCCATGTGGGGATCCTAGAATACCCTTGCTTTTTGAACTTATGCACTATGCTTGCTTGAATGCAGTATATGCTATGCAAAATACAATGTGTGTAAAATTCAATGCATGCTATACAAATGCTAGCTAATTAATTCCCATTTAATTATGGTACTCAAGTTTCTCAAGCTTTTTCTTTAGCCTCGAACCCTTTGTTCTGCAAAGATCAAGTCAGCATAACTCGTAATCATTTAATTCTCACGTTCTTTTTGCAAGAAGTTTCCTTCCAAATATGTGTCCTTATTAGGAACTGAACATCTCAAATTTGCCTTTATCACTCTTAACCTTTCCAATGTAATGTAGAAATCTTTCATACTATTATTTATTTATCAATCATTATTTCAATCTCAAAAAGTAAGAATGCATTCACACATTTCTTCCATTGCAAGGTATTAAGGAGAAAAGAATAATGATGGTTAGGAAATAATCAACAGTAGAGACACACAAAGAATAAAGTAGAATGTCTTTTATTAGCAAAAATGCTGACAAACTCTAGGCAATGAAAAAAATTACAAAAATGGGTATAGGGAAGGTAAAGCCCAAAAATGAATAATCAAACGACCATGATAACATATCTCAAAGTCCCTTTGAAAACTCAACCATCTGATGCACTTAACAACTTGGAGCTCCTTAGAATATGCTAGCCTCCATGCCAATGAACTTTCAAATTCAATGCTGTATTCTTTTCATCTAAGTTACCTTTTTTGGTTTTCAAGTTAGACGCCCCCTATAACTCAAATCACCTTTTTCGAGTTTTCGCTTTGAGTCCTTTTTCATTTTTTTTCATTATTTTTTATTTTTTATTTTTTCTCTCTTTTTTAAGCATAGTAATTCTTCACAGCATCAGAATTTATAGGATGGGACAAATCATTTCCATCCATCTCTGCTAGTATCAATGCTCCACTCGAGAAAGCTCGTTTCACCACATACGGCCTTTTCTAATTGGGGTCTATTTTCCTCTATTATCATGCTGATTTGAAAGAATTCTTTTTAAGACCAACTCTCTCTCTCGAAAACAATGAGGTCGGACCTTTTAGTCATGAGCCCTCATCATTCGTCTTTGATATAGCTGACAATGGCATAACGTTATCAATCTATTTTCTTCAATGAAATTCAACTGTTT